CATTTTCAGCGGGTGGTCACATTCCGCGATACCAGCACCGTACAGCGGCTCCACCGGTTCGTTCTAGAGTATTTACGGTGCACCATCCGCGGGTCGGGTTAAACACTAGCTGCCGCCCAATAAGCGGCGTTCTTGCCGTTGACCTGTTGGTTTGTGTTTTTTGCATTAATTATTCGAGATCGCGTATATCCCAAGGGATATAATGAAGGTTGTTATATATGGATTAGCGGATGATGTGTGTTTCCTTATGCACACATACGATATACACATGTATATATTACTACTTAAATAGATTATAAATTATATATTACATCTCATGTGTGTGGTTATATATAATATATATACTATTATATATATCATATATGTATATATATATCATATGTATATATATACATATATATGTATATATATATATATATATTACATATATATGGATATATATGTATATAAGTTATGTACACATATATATAGTATCTGTATATATAGTGTATATATATATATATATATATATATATATATATATATATATTATATATATATATATATATATATATGTATATATATGTATATATATATATATATATTATATATATATATAGTTATATATATAATATAGTATATTAATATATATATATATATTATATATATATATTATGTGTGTGTGTGTGTGACAATGCACGTATATACACATATACACTATTGAATACTACGCATGCTTTATGGTCGGGGTGCGTTTTACCCACACATATGCACATACAAACACGCACGCACACACACACACACACATTCGCACACACACATTCGCACACATACATACACATGTGGATATTGCTGAAGAAAAGCGTAACGCTTCATATTCATTAACAAAGTGTCGTTCCCGATTCCACACAGGCCATTTTTTAAAGATTTTTTATCAGGATTTTTTATTAGGATATTTAATTTGGATTTGTCTTTATTAGTTTTATTAGGTTTTTATTCGTATTTTATGATTTTTTTTACTAGGGATTTTTTTTTGTTATTATTTTTATTTTTTTTTTATCTATTTTTATGTTTTTTTACTTATTTATTTTTTCAATAGATCACCAACTGACAAGTAACTTGTCTGTGACGATTCGCGGGTGCTGGTGAGTCAGTATTTCAGAAAAGGAGATAAGTCCTTCTTTAAACGACCCTTTACGATGGTTTTGACAGTTACATTCGAGAAACTACGGGAAGGTAGGGGGGGAGTGGGTGGGGGGGGGAAGTCTCACTATGTTTGTGTGTGTTTGTGTGTGTGTGGGGGGGAGTCTCACTATGTTTGTGAGGGGGGGGAGGGGGGTGTTGGCTGGAGTATCAAATTGAGGTAAGGTGTAATTTGATCATCAGTCCACTTACCAAGCACTTACGACGGGCTCTTAAACTGAGTGTGAGGGAAATGGACATTCACGTGGAACACTGACATGCGTACACACACATAGAAATCTTTATTATACATATATCATATATATATATATATATATATATATATATATATATATTATAATTATATATACTATATGTGTGTGTGTGTGTGTGTGTGTGTGTGTGTGTGTGTGTGTGTGAGTGAGAGAGAGAGGAGAGAGAGAGGGGTGTATATGTATCATATACAAGTGCATAAAGTATATCTAGTATATATATATATGTATAATATATATATATATATATATATATATATATATATATATATATTATATATATATATACTAGAGTCGAGCTCTATTTAGAAATCCTACCTATTTTTCCTAGCCTCTACACAAAACAAAACTTATATTCCCACTAGATATAAAAGTACCTTAGTTTCCATCCCAATATAGACCAATGAGGCATTAAAATTTTCAAGGAATTTCTTATTATTTCAAACAGTAGAATTTACCATCCTTAGAAGGAATGCCATCACAAATTTTATATATAATGATATTAAGAAAGAAATCAATTGATGTACATATAACCTCGAGATAATTATGACCAGGATTTTGCATAATAAGTATATTATTGTAACATTGAAATTTACATATCAACCTAAACTATTGGTAGTCTCTTTAAATGTGAATTTCAAGATCATGTTTTTTTTTTCTTTTTTTTGTTATATACAAGTTCTCTTAAATATCTAGGAAAAAACAGCGCAATTTATTCGTATGTATACAAGAACATAAGGGTTACTTTTAGAGAAACAAAGGAATAAGACTTAGTAATTTAACCAAGTCCTCAGTCAGAATGTCATACTCTATAATTTTTCTAATGATGATTCTTATAATTCTTGATTCTTCCTAGCTTTAATACGATTTATAATTTGGCAAGTCTTTCGATCTGGAAATTAAAACCTAATTATAAAGAATGTTCATTTTCTACTGGCATTTTAAAATAGCTTCCCCATGATTCATTCAGGTTTTCCTTCTATTCTAAATGGATTATCACATTCACATTTGTAAGCGTCCAGATGTGCTTCTTCCACTAATCTCAAAATCATTTTATGACCATGGTATATAGGTTAGCGGTATCTCTAATAGCTTTTTAAAAAATGTGTTATTTAAAGATACAGCATATTTGGTCTAACCTAACACCTTTTGCGCATCGCCTATAATTTACGTATCATGAACTAAATGATGTTTATGGATGCTATGTAAGTTTTGCACTGTAACGAACAATTATATAGTCATTTAAGAGTTTCAAATTTCAAGTTGCTCGATCCAGTTTTTTAGAGATCAGTGTGGTGGGATGTCCATTTTTTCACATATTATGGGTAGCACTAATGATTTTCACACACACAAACACAACACACACACACCAAATGCGGCGCGCGCGCGCATATATATATATATATATATATAATATAATATATTATAATATATAATATATATAAATATATATATATATATATATGACTAGCTTGGGTCATAAACATTTATTTGAATTACGCGGTCCTTGTCCAACGAGGCGGAGAACGTATTCACCAGGGAAAACCCGCATTCATAAAGTTTTATAACAATTTCCGTCTTAATTTCAAGTTATTAGAATATTAATATATTATTTGTAATAATAAATGACTATGTACAGAGATTTGATCGTGCGAGGAAAAAGGAAATATCCTTAATTTTAGTTTATACTCGAACTCTCTGAGCGTAGCGTGGGGGGTAACCAGCCATGCGTCGCTCTTTCCCTTTGGACCTCGGCGAAGCGGTTGAGATGGCTGGCGATTCCCCCATTTTTTTTTAGGAATGCTGACTCTGGGTAAACTCTAGTGTAAATAATGATATAACCAGTGCACTCTCTCGTCTCTTCATTTTACGATCTTGACACACACACCACACACACACACACACCCACACACACACACACACACACACACACACACACACACACACACACACACACACACACACACACAACACACACACACAACACAACACACAAACACACACACCACACACCACACACACACACACACAAACACCCACACACACACACACACACAACAGACACACGGACCAGTGACCAGACCTGAGGGACAACCACGTGAGCGAGCGCGGGACATTTGCACTTGCTCCGAACCGGGTGTTTATTTGCGATGAGTTGACTTCCTTTGTTTCGAATTTAAAATTACAGGAAGTGTTTATGAATAACCATGAAGCATTTGGCTTATCTCTTGTGTACTCAAGGGGAATTAAAGTTAATCTAAATATCATGTGAACAGTGTCATTAGTGAGAGAGGAGTAGGCACAGGATACTCTCATCTCTTCGTTCTGACTATTGTCCGACCACAGAATAAGATACTTCTGATTCTTCCTCATTTTTCATTTCTTTGTGTAATACTAAGAGCTAGTTCATAGTGTGTCCACTGAGGAGAGAATTATTATATATATATATATATTATATTATATATATATATAGTATATATATATATATAGATAGAGAGAGAGAGAGAGAGAGAGAGAGAGAGAGAGAGAGAGAGAGAGAGAGAGAGAATTTATAATTTTATGTGTGTGTGTGAAGGAGAGACTGGGAGGCAAAGATCTATAGAGGACAAACGGGTTTGAAAATGTTCATAAATTGAATTTAAGGTATTTGCATTGTCACTATCTCTGAATAGTCTTTAAATTATTGATGAGTTTAAGGAGAAATAGATTGAGTGTATAACTTTTTCTCTGTTCCACTTTCCTAATGTCCTGTATTATAACATCGGGCTAACTGATTATGAGTAAACATCCATCATTTTTGTAAAATCTTCAAGAGCCATAGTTTATTATGCATGAAATTAACTTTACATAATGATGTCTAAATTTATGTAATGGTTATAGCTGTCGAATGAGATGTTTGAACTCATTTTGATGCATTTTAGTTCAATACAGTTTGATTATGGTTATAAGTTGTCCCTGGTCAAGGATTTTCGTTGTGTGTCTTCCAAGAAAAGACAGAAATATAATTACATTTTTTTATTCTATCAATTGGATCAATAGGTGCATGAACTGCCTTGGAGAGTATCCGGAAAATTCACATGATAAACAAGCAGCTTAGATTCTCTTATCTTCTGGACGGCCAAACTGTTCATTGGTGTAGAAGTAACTGGAAGATTCTTGACAAGGAACAGCATCTGTCTCTGGCACACAGGTCAAGGTCTTCTGGTCAAACACTGATCCTTCTCCACACAGGAAGCTAGAACGGTACCAAAATTGTGTTATAAGTATTCCTAACACCTAGATGACATCTCAAAGTCGAGTCAATATCTTAATCATATTTACACCGTATCTTCTAAACATAAACAGCAGGGAATAAAATAATATCTTCAAATAAAAGGAATCTGAAAATAGAGTCTTACCTGTACTGGGAGGTCTCAACAGCACCATTAGCAAAGAGAGCAGGGTAGCAGATGTGGAAGACTCTGCATGAGTTCTCTTGATCGGCATAGTACCCATAAGGACGGTCTGCGCAGGTGAAGGATGTTGAGATCCTTCCCAAAATATTACTGGCATCAGCTGGGAGGTTGAGAGGCTCAAATTCTCCAAATACCTCTTCTGTATTTGAACCGAACTGGGCTCCAATGTTGCTCACAGAACCACTCAGGAGTCCAAAACCATTAGTGCTGCCTGAGAAACTGGACTGTAATCCACTCAGCAATCCAGACTGGAATCCATTAGTGTTGGAGGATCCAGATTGGATCCAGATTGGAATCCACTGGTGCTTGGTGATCCAGATTGGAATCCACTGGTGCTTGGTGATCCAGATTGGAAATCCATTGGATGATTGTCCATCCAGATTGGGCCAGATCTTGGAATGATCCAGATTGGAATGATTCCAAGATTGGAATGGGGTGATCCAGATTGGATCCAAGGTGATCCAGATTGGAATGATCCAGTGCTTGGTGATCAGATGGAATGATCAGATCCAGATTGGAATGATCCAGTGCTTGGTGATCCAGATGTGCTTGGTGATCTGGTGCTTGGTGATCCAGATTGGAATCCACTGGTGCTTGGTGATCCAGATTGGAATTGGTTGGTGTTTGGTGATCCTGATTGGAATGATCCAGATTGGAAACCGCTGCATCCAGATTGGAAGCCACTGGTGCTTGGTGATCCAGATTGGATCCAGATGGAATCCATTGGTGCTTGGTGATCCAGATTGGAATCACTGGTGCTTGGTGATCCTGATTGGAATGATCCAGATTGGAAACCGCTGGTGCTTGGTGATCCAGATTGGAATCCACTGGTGCTTGGTGATCCAGATTGGAATCCTGATTGGAATGATCCAGTGCTTGGGGATCCAGATTGGAAGCCACTGGTGCTTGGTGATCCACTTGTTGATCCAGATTGGAAGCTGGTGCTTGGTGATCAGATTGGAATGATCAGTGCTTGGTGATCCAGATTGGAATGATCCAGTGCTTGGTGATCCAGATTGGAATCACTGACCCAGATTGAATCACTGGTGCTTGGTGATCCAGATTGGAATCATGGTACTTGGGATCCAGATTGGAATTGCTGATCCAGATCCAGATTGGAATCCGCTGGTGCTTGGTGATCCAGATTGGAATTGGTTGGTGATTGGTGATCCAGATTGGAATTCGCTGGTGCTTGGTGATCCAGATTGGAATCCACTAGTGTTTGGTGATCCAGATTGGAATCCACTGGTGCTTGGTGATCCAGATTGGAATCCACTGGTACTTGGTGATCCAGATTGGAATTCACTGGTACTTGGTGATCCAGATTGGAATTGGTTGGTGATTGGTGATCCAGACTGGAATTGGTTGGTGTTTGGTGACCCAGATTGGAATCCACTGGTGCTTGGTGATCCAGATTGAATCCACTGGTGCTTGGTGATCCAGATTGGAATCCACTGGTGCTTGGTGATCCAGATTGGAATTCACTGGTGCTTGGTGATCCTGATTGGAATCCACTAGTGTTTGGTGATCCAGATTGGAAACCACTGATGGTTAGTGATCCAGATTGGAATCCACTGGTACTTGGGGTTCCAGACTGGAATGCACTTGTGCTTGGTGATCCTGATTGGAATCCACTAGTGTTTGGTGAACTGGACTGGAATGCACTTGATGAAGTGGATTGGAAACCAGAAACACTGCTACCTGCTGATCCTACCTTGCCTGATGAACCAGGTTGGAATTTGCTTCCACCAAATGAACCAAATTTGACACCACTGAACTGGAAGCAGAGGAACCAGGTTGGAATTTGCTTCCACCAAATGAACCAGACTGGAATCCACTGCTGCTTGAAGAGGAACCAGGTTGGAATTTGCTTCCACCAAATGAACCAGACTGGAATCCACTGCTGCTTGAGGATGAACCAGATTGGAATTTGCTTCCACCAAATGAACCAGACTGGAATCCACTGCTACTTGATGGTAAACTGGGTGGGAATTTGATGCTTGGTGAACCAGATTTGAGTCTTCTGCTTGGTGAGCCAGACTGGAATCTTCCACTAGTTGAACCAGACTGGAATCTTCCACTAGTTGAACCTGACTGGAATCTTCCACTAGTTGAACCAGACTGGAATCGACTACCGCTTACTGAACCTGTCTGTGATCCACTGATAATTGATCCAAAAGATTTTCTGTCCAAGGAGCTAGATCCGAATCCGCTGTTGGTAAAAGCAGATCCAGAGCCAAATCCAGGGGTAGCTGAGGAAACAAATCCACTTCTTTCCAGGGAACCAAAGTTTGAACCACGGTTGCCAGAACCAGCAGAGAACCCAGCTGATGATCCAGATCCGAATTGATTGCCGAGAAGAGAACCAGATCCGAATCCACTGCCAGCACTGCCTTGGAACTGGCCATTGATGTTGAACTGACCACCATTCCTAGATGAACTGGAGCCAAAGGAATTTCTTTGTTGGAAATATCCTGGTTCAGCTAGTCTCACAGCAACATCGTAGGCTGCCGTCTGCTCGAACTGCTGACCGGAGGCAAACGCTGCCAACAATACTAACAAAGAAGAAAACAAATTATTACTGTTACATTACCCACATCCACAGTGGTATT